GATGCTCGGGGGCTGGACATCCCATGTGAGGGCCACGCTCCCTCCGGAGGCTCCAGGGCATGACCCTTCCCACCTCTCCCAGCTTCAGGCCTTCCTTGGCTCGTGGCTGCATCAGCCTATTTTGCCTCCGTCATCACAGGGCACAGGATGTCCTCGTCTCTCCCGAGTCTCCCCCAGCTCTCTTGGAAGGACCCCAGCCATAGATATAGGTTTCCCTAAGCCAGGATGAGGGTCTTCCCTGGTGGCTCAGATGGTAAAGAATCCACCTGCAATGCGGGAGACCTGGGTTGGCAAGATCCCCTGGAGGAGGGCATGGCAACCCCCTCAAGTATTCTTGCCTGGAGAATCCCATGGACAGGGGAGCCTGGTGGGCTACAGTCCATGGGGTCACAAAGAGTGGGACATGACTGTGCGACTGAGCACAAGGCAGGATGGCTTCATCTTAACTTACGACAGCACCAAATGCCCTATTTACAAACAAAGTCCCATCCTGAGACTCCAGGTGGGCATGAATTTGGGGGAATACTATTCCACCCAGGGGCTTCCCAGGTGGCACTAGCAGTAAAGAACCTGCGTGCCAGTGCAGGAGACATAAGAGATGTGGGTTCAAGTCCCCGGGTCACGAAGATCTCCTGGAAGAGGGCATGGCAACCCACTCCAGTATTCTTGCTTGGAGAACCCCATGGACAGAGGAGCCTGGCAGGCTATAGGGTCGCAGAGTCGAACACAACTGAAGCGACTTGGCACACACACACGCATTCCACCCAGGCGCCCTCACCTAGGGAAGGCAGGGCATTAGGAGGATAGAGAACCAGCGGACACGCTCAAGGACAGTGACGGCAGGTGGAGGGGCCAAGGCTCGGCCCACCCTGGACAAGGACGGCCAGGTGACAGCAGGGCAGTCCTTCAGGCTCAGCCACGGGAGGGGCGGCTCCAGGCCCCCCAAGCCTCAGGCCACCAGGACCCGGTGGCTCAGTCCATCTCTGATGTAAGGCTGAGGGCCAAGGGTGAGGGTGGATCAGGTCCCCCCCACCAAGCCATGCCCTTGACGCCCGCCCCCAGGGGACCACAGCCCTGCCTAGACTCTGCACATCATTATACACACGTGAAGGCATCTGTGAGCATCCGTGTGTGTTCACGTGTGTGAGCCTGAGCACCTGCGTGTATAAAGTTGCACAGGGATTCGTGGGGGAGAAACAGCCCCTCTGAGAGAAAGGCAGAGTCTGGCTTCCTGGAGAATGTTCCAGAATACAAAGAAATTGCCCTGGGGATACTGTGACCTCCCTCCTGCCCTGAGTTGGCCCCGCCCCTAGACTCAGCCCAATAGCTGCAGCTTCCACCCTGGGGCCAGTCTTTCCCGGGCCTGGGAAGGGGCAGTGACACATATCAAAGGACTGGCTCTCGATGCCCTCCTGCCACCAGGCCAAGCCTGGGAGCATCTGCCTTCAGCCAGGCCCCATGGGCAGCAGGCAGTGAACGCTGGGCCACCAATTTCGAGAAATACCATGAGCACATGTCCATCAGCCATGGAGTGGGACCTCCAGGGCCGCAAGAACTCATTCCTGGGGTCCTTCTCAGCCCTCAAGTCCCCGAGTGCACCCGTCCCCATGCAGGCCAAACCACACCTGGCCGGAATGCCCTCCCTGACCCCTGTCCCCCAGCAATGCCTTCATCCAAAGGCCCGAGCCTGCCCAGCCCTGAGCTGGCGCTGCACATGCGTTAACGCCGGTGGAGCGCGCTCCCGGCAGAGCCAGGCTCAGGGCGAGAATGTGGGCAGGCAGCAGGATGTGACCAAGAGGCTGGGGGCTGCCTTGGCTTCCATCAGTTTCCTCAAACTCCAAGTCCCCTCAAATGGTCCACAGTGACCCCTGCCCCAAGGTCAGCCTTGACTGGCACTGTCTGGGGACTGGCCTGCACCCAGCACTCAGTGGGCACCACAGTAACGCCCACCTCCAGATTAATGTTCCAGATTAAGAACCAGAGGCACAGAGAGGGCCATGGGATCAGGGCGGGGCTGCTCCACTACCTGCCCCAGGGGTGTTGAGACAGCTCCAGGCCCTAGGCTGCAGAGCTCTGACTGAGGCCTGCCAGGCACCTGCTGAGGGCCTGGGCTGCCCCCAGTCCGCCCAAGGCTTGAGAAGGTGAGAAACGAGGGTGGCCCTCTGCCTCAGACAGCGCCGGAGAGGCAAGCCCCGCCCCCTCAAGGCCACGCCTCCCCCACCAGCTCCGCCCAGGTGCTCCTGGCTCCCGCGCGACACCCTCCTCACACCTCAGTTCTTGGCTTCCATATCCCACCCACCCAGTCTCCCCAGAGTGAGGTTTCATCTGTGTGGGGCTGAGTCTCAGAGAGGTTGAGTGACTGGCCCAAGGCCACACAGCACTGAGGTCAGAGGTCTGTGACTGACCAGAAATCCCCAAAGTCACCCACATGGTGGGAAGAGCTGAACCCCAGAAGAGGCAGCCCTTCCAGATGCACGCCTGTGCCAGGCTGTGGTCCCAGGAGAACATGCTTAGGCCTGGCCCCCTCCAGGGGCCTGCTCTGTCCATATCTGATAGGTGATGGTGGCCCAGGCAGGAGCTGAGTTTAAATAAGGTCCCCCAGCACCCATACAGCACTGAAGCACATGCCTAGAGCCAGAGCCTCAAACTCAGCCCCCTTCACTCTACATAACTGCCACCGTTGTCACCACCTCTATGGAGAACTACCATAGAATCCATGATGGACACAGAACTGGCAGTAGGCAACAAACCTGGCCTGGTGACACTCTGAGGACCCTCAGCCCAGGCTGGGTCCCTCTGTCCACCCCAGAGTGTTAGCAACCACAGAAACAAACTCCGAGACGGCCACAAACATGACTATCCCCTGCCCTCTGAGTTTGGTGGATCCCAAGCAGGATCCCCATTTAGACAGGAGTCAACCTCAAAAAAAACCATCTCTCCCCACTTTGGGGACAGAGGAAAGCCACATGCCACTGTCGCCTTGTCTCCATACACCAGCCCCTCTAAAAGAGCAGCCAGTGTTCATTGAGGGTCAGGTTTTCATAGGGTGTTAACCCCTAACCGAGCCTGGTGTAGGCGCTGCTATCCCCTTTTACAGATGAGAAAACTGAGACTCTAGAAGGCAAGGGTGGGCAGGGGGCACCCCAACAGGTGGGAGCTGGGCTCTGAATGCTAGGCATTTAGCGGGAGGGCAGAGGACTCCACCTCTCCTCCTTCCCAATGCCCACATGCGGGCCAGCAAGGAGCCCAGGAGTTCTGCACCCCAGCAGGCAACCTACCTTTACCATCCAGGGGGGCCCCTCCCACAGTGGGGCAGGGCTCTCCCCTTCATTCCACCTGAAAAGAGCAGACCTCCCCTTGTCTCCTGACAACTTTTTCCCCTAAGTCCTTAAACTGACACATTATAATTACACTGATCACAGCTGTTAACAGAAACATTTGCAAGAGGAGCAAGCTTAGTTGTTTCTCTAAGATGGGGGAAGGGTCTCGTGCTGGGATACACCCGAGTGTGTGTTTGGTGGGGGAGAGTGTACTGAACCCACACAGGGGCGGTATGGGCCCCACAAAGGGTGCAAGAGGCAGGGCATGGAGGAGGGTGTCCCCCATCCCCGGGTCAGTCCTGGCACACACACCCCCACCCTGCCTACGGTTCCAAGGTTGGACCCTCGCTGCCCAGGAGCCACGCTGCCTGGAACACTGGCCCGGAGCCACCTGGATACCTGTCCCAAAAGGCTGTCCGAACCTGGGACTGACTGCTCAGCAGGGCGACCTCCACCCCCACCTCCAACCCCCACCTTCAGAGTCCACCCAGGGCTGTCACTGCCAGGTTCGGGGCCATCCACTGTGACTCCATGTTCTCCAAGCTCTGGGAGTCGCCTTGGGAAGTCATTTCTGAGCCAGGGACACCCACATCCTCAGTCCAGCAGAGAAATCTGCCATCTGCTCCCCTCCCCCAAGACCAAATGCCTTCAGATGGGGCCGAACCCAGGGACCCTGTGCATCACTGCACGAACTGGGCCCTACTCCAGGGAGGGAGACCCAGGAGAGCCCATCACGTGCTCACCCGCCTTTGTTTTGGCTGGATTAGCCTGTGCCAGAGCCCCAGTGACAAGTGGGTGGGACTCTGGGCCCTTAGGCCACGGCTCCAGGGCAGGGGCTTATCTCCCACTAGGGCCAAGGAGGGGCGGGTGGCGGGGCCTATGAAGGCAGAGGGAAGAAGGTCTACCACCTTCTGGCGACAGAGACAGGGCTTCAGCTGCCCCCAGCCCCTCTGCCCACCACAGCAGCCCACTGCTGCCAGGAGGTCAGGCAGCCATGGGTAAACAGGCTGCCAGGGCCGCCAGCCTGGGGGAAGGGGGGAAAGAGGCCTGGCCCCATGTCCCCTGCAGCCAGCTTTGACAGCGCCACCTCGGCCTCATCCCTCTGTCCCGAAGGGCTGGGCACCCACTGAGGCCCATCTCTTCTGAGCCTGTGCTCAATGGGCTCTGTCCCGTGGGTCGGCTACTGCTCCCACCTCCCCATGCAGGCGGCTAGGTGGCCTGGCAGGGCTCTCCAGAACGCACTCCCAGCCTGGGGAGGAGCTGCCACGCTAGTCCCGGCAAGGGGGTCCATGGGCCTGGGGGGGCAACACTCCCAACCACTCCCTGGAGCCCTTAGTCCTGGCTACCTCCTCCCCTGGACACCTGGCCCAACACGGGCCCTCCTGCCCCAGATACCCGAGATCGAAGCTTCCACAGGGACGAGCAGTGCCCCCACTGCCCATCCCGGCTGCTGGAGGCCTCAAGCAGGTACCAACCCCTAGGCCTGCCCACCTCTGGGCCTCCAGGGGGTCCTGCGGGAAAGCAGTTCCGTCTGCAGCTCCGCTCAGAGAGAGGAAAGGGTTAATTTCCATGCAAAATAGGAAACCAGCGGCTCAGGAAGCATCAATGTCCGCAGTTAGGCAGGTTAGGGGCAGCCGCAGCGGGCAGAGGGCTGGCAAGGGGCGCGGCCAGGGGACTCACCAGGGTCGAAGTGCGAGCTGAAGGCGAAGCTGGGGTTGAAGAAGGACGACGACATGGCCAGAGCCAGCAGCGCGGCTTGGCATCCCCCGACTCGCGCTGCGATCAGCTCAGGACGCCCGAGGCCCGTACCGCGCCATCACCCGAGCGGCCGCCGCAGGTGCGAGCGCGCCTTGGCCGCCGCGCCCGCTCAGCACCCACAGCCGCAGCCGCGGGGCCGGCGGGGTGCGGGTGCGGGTGCGGGCGGCGGCGACAGACGAGGCGCCTCCCCCGGCCGGTGCAGTCCGAAAACACCGGCGGGAGCGCGCGCGCGGGGTCGGCGGGGGGGTTCCCTACCAGGCTGGGGTGGGGGGGGCACGGAGACGCGCGCAAGGGGACCCGAAGGCTGAGGGGGCATGGAAATGCGGGGGGGATGAAGGCACGGGTCGGGGGACACAGATGCAGAATGGGAGATCCGGAGACGCGGGGGTGGCACGGAGGATGGGGGGCACGGAAGCTGGGGGGCGCTGGGAGGCGGAAGGTGCACAGAAACGCGGGGAGGGGTATACTGAAGCCCGAGGGGGGGCTCAGTGACGCGGGATGGGAGACCCAAAGGCTCGGGAGCACGGATAATGGGGGAGGGGTCCGTGGAGGCGAAAGGTGCCGCGGGGTGTGTGTTGGGGGGGCCGGGGCGGGACGGAGTCTCGGGAGGGGGCCACCTGGAGGCGCAAGGGTGGGCAGAGAGGCGTGGGGAGGAGGAGCGGGAAGGCGGGGGCACGGCTGCGCGCGGGGGGGGGGGGGGCAGACAGTGGCACGCAGGAGCAATACGAAAGCGCGCGCGGGGTGGCCGGGAGGCGCGGGCCCCAGCACGCGAGGGTCGGGGCTGGCACGCGGCCTGCACACGCCGCTTTCCGAGGCAGCTCCGGTCCTGCCCCGCGCCCTCTGGGCGGCGCCCGCGCCGCCGGGGTTGGGGGTGGGGGTGCTATTTTTGCACAAACCGCCCGCGCCTGTGCCACTCTGCGACAACCGTGGAGAAAGAGCGGCCGCCCCCGCCCGGGAGGGAACAGCGCCGGGCGTTTAGGGCGGGCGCGGCGGCGCCGGGCACCGAGGAACCGTCCCCTCCCCGCCGGCCGCGCGCCCTGCCGCGCCATCTTGCGCGGCTGCGGCGGCTGCGGGAGGGCCGGCGGGCTGAGCGCCCAGGGGGCTGGGGACCGGCCCCTCCCCACCCCCTGGGAGCGGAGAGAGTTCCAGTGTAGCTGGGATTTGAGTTTTATGTAACTTGGGTCACTCCCTCTACATCCATCCATTCATTCTCTGGCCAGATGAGCAAAGCCGCTTGGTTGACCCAGCTGCAGGACAGCGGGGTGTGGGGGTCCGGAAGGCTTTGGGGAGAGCAAGGATCAATGGCACAGGGTTGGGCAGGGACAGAAAGGATGGTTAGGGCCAACCTTCAGGGTGCCAGGACACATTCTTCTTACCCTAAGGGGGCTTGTGTAGACAGTTCCCGCATGGGCAAAGGAAGGGATCTCCTTTCCTCTCAGACTTGTGGGGTCCCCTGCCATGGGTGGTGCCAGGACCCTCCGGCCTGTGGAGGAGCATGAGGCATCCAGAACCTTCTTACTGGCCCTGATGGTGTGGCCTCTACTCTAAGCAGCTTTGCCCCACAGGCCGCAGTTGAGGCAGAAGGAGCTCATTCCGGGGTGGGGGGGCCGGTGGGGGGGTGGCCAATGGGAGGGGCAGGGACAACTGAGGGCTGCGATCCGGGAGTGTGCAGTGCTGAGGGGGCTGGATCTCCAGTGGGGGTCTCCCCTCCCCACCCAGGAGTAAAGCCCAACACTGCCCACTCGCATAGCACAGGCCTTGCCTCTGCCCACCAGGAAGGCGCCCCAGACACCTGGACCTCGATGCCGCCGGGGACTCTCTGGGGACAAGCAGGGAAATGCCCAGTGGCCCTAAGTTGACCCTATTCAGACTCTCATGGCCAGCCTCAGTGACCAGGGTCAGAAGACCCTCTGTGCAGACCTCTGTGACAGGCAAGTGTGTGCACACACGGGCACACAGAAGGCCAGACCCCAGGGGCATTAGGGTTGCAGATGTCCTCTGGAGTCCAGGTAGGGCAGGACAAGTCCATCAGGGCTTCAGGTCCAGCACTGTCACTCCATCTGACCCGAGGGACACCTTCCCCTGCCCGATCCAGGAGCCCTGCCTGCTGTTTCCACTACCTGGTGACTGTTGAACCAGGGGTGCCCTGAATCCCCCTACCAGTAATCCAGTCCTCTGACCAGTGATTCCAGTGTGTGGCTGGCCACCAGCACTCTGGCAACCAATGAGGGAGCCGGAAAGCTGGGGCTGGAATTTAGGGGGGAAGGTTTATCTGTGCTCTTCCTGGGTCCCCTGAGTCCAAGGCCTCCAGGCCAGCCATGAGCCTTACCCTCCGTTGGCATGACAAGGTCTAATGGACAGGACGGGGTGCTGGGCACTGGGCAGGGCAGAGGTGAGAGGCTCGGTGCGTGGGGCTCTGTCGTCAGCCTCAGGTCCTGAGGGCCTGTCCCCAGCAGAGGCGCACGCGTGCACACGCGCGCACACACACACACACACACATCTCTGAGAAAAGACAGAGGAGGTAGAAACAGAGGAGGTAGAAACTCGAGCCCCAGGGGCAAAGCCCCCACACTGAGAGCCTGGCTCGTCCAGTGCTGGGGGCAGGGGGCGCAGGGGTGAGGGCTCACAGGGTGCCCAGTGGCCAGCCTGCCTCCGGACTCCCTTGAGAGAGATCTCTGAAGATGTGGCCACCACGCTAGGGAAGCGAGGGGCCCCAGACCGCTCCGCCGCCCAGGCAAGGGCCAGGTCCGACAGTGGTGAGGGCCAGGCGCCCCACACCGAGTGACCACTGCCTCAGGCGCCTCCACCTTCAAGGCCAGGCTAGTGGGGCTGCCTCTTCCCCACTTCTCTCTCATGGACACGGGGCACCTGGGCCCGTGAAGACCGAGGCCTTGGGCAGGAGCCTCAGGGAAGACAACATGGGGTCAAGGACAAGCCGAGTATAGTTGGGGGGGCACCTTCCCTAGAAAGAGCTGCCCCCCAGGGGGTCTGGACCCAGAGAAGGTCCAAGAGGCCCTGGGACAGAGGGAGAGGCCTCCCGTGTCAGGAACGGCACAAGCGCCAGACTAGGGCATCAGGTGAGCAAGGGAGGCACCGAAAACTTTTAACAACATCCAGTAACAGATGGATACACAAAGCCTGGTAGGTCCATACAGGGGAGGATTGCAATCAGTGAAAAGGAGCGAAGCGGAGGCTTCCCTGGTAGCTCAGTGGTAAAAAGAAAAATCCACCTGACAATGCAGAAGACGTGGGTTCCATCCCTGGTCCGGAGAGATCCCACATACTGCGGTGCAGCTAAGCCCGTGCACCACAACTGCTGAACCTGTGCTCCAGAGCCCGGGAGCTGCCACTGCTGAAGCCCATGCACCTGGAGCCTGAGTTCTGCAACAGCAGAAGCCACCGCAGTGAGAAGCCTGCACACTTCAACTAGAGGGTAGCCCCCGCTCACTGCAACGAAAGAAAATGCCCACACAGCAACAAAGACGCAGCCCGGCCAAAAATAAATAAATAAATAAAAACTTCAAATAAAGGAATGGAGCACTGACATGCACTACAGCATGGATAAACCTTAGAAACAGTGCTCAGTGAAAACAGCAGAAGGGCAAATACCATAGGATTCCACTTATAGGAAAGACCTAGCCTATTCAAATCTATGGAGCGAGAAAGAAGACTGATGCTTGTCAGAGGTCCAGAGGAAGGGAAAATGGGAGTATAGAGCCTCTCTGGGGGTGTTGAAAATGTTCTTGGATTTTATAGAGGTGATGGTTGCACAACCTGGGACTAAAAAACACTGATATGTAGGCTCTAAAATGATCAACTTCACAGCATGTAAATTATATCTCAATAAAGCTGTTAAACTTGGCCATCGAGGTAACTGTTATTTTTGCAATATCTTAGAGACAGGAGACATGGGTTCCATCCCTGGTCCAGGAAGATCCCACATACTGCGTATTATGCAATATCTTAGATAATCAAAATTATTGAGAAAAATCCATGATGAGCAACATATCCCATATTTGAATCAAGGCAGGAGTAGAAACTACTGAGCCATCTGGAGCCTGAGGCCAGGGAAGCTCAGGACTGCTCACCTGTCGGCCTGGCACCCTTTAAATCCACAGGCCGGGGGCTTCCCTGGCAGCCCAATGGTTAAGAATCTGCCCTGCAATGCAGGGGACACCATTTTGCTCCCCAGTCTGGGAGGATCCCACATGCTGCCGAGCAACTAAGCCTGTATACGCCACAATTACTCAGCCTGCACTCTAGAGCCCCCGAGCTGCAACTACTGAAGCCCGAGTGCCTAAAGCCCATTGCTCTGCAACAAGAGAAGCCGCCACAATGAGAGGCCTGCGTGATGCAATGAAGAGCAGCCCCGACTCATGGCAATTAGCAAAAACCAGCGTGCAGCAACAAAGACCCACCACAGCCAAAGAATAAAATAAATAGATCTTAAAAAATAAAATCCAGGCTTCCCTGGTGGCTCAGTGGTAAAGAATCCACCTGCCAATGCAGGAGACATGGGTTCGATCCCTGATCCAGAAGATCCCACATGCTGCAGACCAACTAAGCCTGGGCATACCACAGAACTACTGAGCCTGTGCTCCAGAGCCCGGGAGCCACAGCTACTGCAGCCCGTGCACCTAGAGCCCATACTCTGCAGCAAGAGAAACCACTGCCGTGAGAAGCCTGTGCACGGCAGCTAGAGAGTAGCCCCCACTCGCCACAACTAGAGAACAGCCCATGTAGCAACAAAGACCCAGCACAGCCATAGAAAAAGAAAAAAAAACCACAGCCCTGTTGGGCACCTGCCAGCCTGGGGGACGCAGCTGCCTTTGTGTCCCTCCGGGCCCCAGGCCTACATCCTACTCAGGTCCTCACCTGAGGCTTGGGAAGGGGATCGGAGTAGAGAGTGGGCTGGGGTGGGGGCCAACAGTGGTGGGAGACAGGCCAGAAGCAGGGGAGCATGAGAGGGTCCCTGGA